TATATCTCACAGAAAAGCTCAGATATATTATACAGATGTTTGGTAGTATAGTTAGTGCTTGTTGACTGCAAATTCATTTGTCTTTCGTTGCAAACTTTTCTGAACAATTTATATTCTCAATGAACATGTTTTTTCGCTGTTGTTTCGGTATTAATTCTTTAAAAAAACTTGTATTTAAACTAATTTCTACGTAATAAATGTATTTTGCTAACCTGTCAAATTTTTTTTGAGAGTTTTCCTTGTAATATTATTATTCTCAAAGCGAATATTTTCCTTTTTCTGCTTCGCAAAACTCATGTAGTTTTTGGACCGCCATCTGGTTTTTCGCTACTCGCCGTATATGAGCTGATATACGGCGAGTAATTCAACCAATCAGATTGCAGAACAGCTCATATACGGTGGATGACTATATTATAAATATATATATATATATATATACATACATATATATATATATATGTTTATGACATTCAGTATATATTTCTTAAATCCATCTGACCGTGTAGCTCAGTTGGTAGAGCGTCGATCTAGTAATAATTATATAATACACACTCGAGAACATTTTCATCTTAACATATTACGGAGTGTACAATTACACAACTCAACATATATATATATATATATATATATATATATATATATATATATATATATATATATATATATATATATATATATATATATATAGATATAGAGATATAGATAGATAGATAGATAGATAGATAGATAGATAGATAGAGATAGATAGATAGATAGATAACAAAAACAACAAATTACAATATTAAAATTTTATTTCATCGCTACAGGTGGGAAATTTGTCTGAGCATGCGCGAGCAAATTGAAAAACACAATTGCGTGGAATACACGCAACGCGTGTTTACAAAAAGGCACAATCGTGTAAATATTGCCAAATGTTTGTACAAAATAAATGACTGTTTTATGTTGAAAATGGACATGATCTAAATTAATCATACAGACTTTTTTAGTGACGTTCTATTTCAGTACCCTGCCATTGTCTCTGGTGGGCTGTCCGTGTGCATTCGATCTGAAACAGTTGCTACTTTGCTGTCGAAGAATTTCGAATGTTTACATGAAAATAGAGGCAAGTCATGCATTTTACAAACTCTCAAACTGTATGAGCCCCTATTTTTACGCTTATACCTAAGATATCAAATAAAAGTACATGAAACAGAGAACATTTTCAGAAAGTTTTATCGTGAGGCCACGGCCAGTTTTTAAAATATCTTTATTTCTGTTCCGGTCATCACCAAAATTACACTAAAGCCGGGCTTGAATATACAACAAATTTTGAATCTCATCAAGTACAAAAATATTTAACGTGTAACCAAAATATGCTCATGAAATCGAAATTAATAGCTAAATTTTCAAACTAGACCCTTCTCGAACCGGTTTTCATGAAGGAAGTTCACATTTCGGCCTTTGATTCTTGGCAAAAATTTGACCACAACACGTGCGAAGCAACTGGGTCTCAAAGACTCAGCTAAAACATTGTGAGCCCCTATTTTCCTGATGATATGTTTGATACCTACAAACGCCGAAAAGTTTTTTCTTTTCATTTTGCTATATTTGAAATTGAGGCCACGGGCTATTTTTGAGAAAATACAGTTCAAAGTCAAGCTATTTTTACATATTTTCAAAATTTGTCAAATTTCGCGAGCTTGTATTTTGAACTTAGACAGCTGAAGTTACATTAAGAAACATAGGATGGAAAATTTGAGGCATATAAATTTAATTTCAACTTACATTTCATTCTCATATCACGTCTTTCTTCGTTTATTACGGTTTTAAACAAGCCACAGATCGACGTATACGGTATTTACTCCCATGTTCACGTCGCCATATTAACTTCTTCCAATCACTCGATTACAAAACAAATCATCCCAAACCAAAGAACGCATAGTCGACTTTTAAAAGAATAACCGTTAATTTGTAAATCGTTGAATGGAAAGCAAAAAATCGTCAGCTAAAACAGCTTGTTGCTAACTTTCTGCTTTGTTTTGAATGTAAATGCAATGAGCTTTGTTTCTGCCCGTGATTTTTTGGTCAGCGACGACAAATTTCCCACCTGTTGGCATGGGGTCGATGCCCACATATGACGTTATTCGAAATACCTTATTTACTGCGCAACCAAATGTCTAGCGGACATACTCCTGTCCATTGGATCCAATGGACAAATCAAATGTGCACTGGACATGTGCCTGTCCATTGGATCCAATGGACAGCTGAAATGTCCATTGGATATATGCATGTCCAATGGATCCATTGGATCCAATGGACCATTGGACATACTGCCTTTGCCATCTCACAGGCCTGCTTACCTGCATGGGGTTGATGCCCATATATGACGTCATTCGAGGTAACTTACTTAATGCACAACCAAATGTCCACTGGACATATGTCTGTCCATTGGATCCAATGGACAAAATCAAGTGTCCACTGAACATATCTATGTCCATTGGATCCAATGGACAACTGAAATGTCCATTGGACATATGCATGTCCAATGGATCCATTGGATCCAATGGACCATTGGACATACTGCCTTTGCCATCTCACAGGCCTGTTTACCTGCATGGGGTTGATGCCCATATATGACGTCATTCGAGATAACTTACTTAATGCACAACCAAATGTCCAGTGGACTTATGCCTGTCCATTGGATCCAATGGCCAAATCGAATGTCCACTGGACATTTCAATATGTCCATTGGACATCTTGCAGAAGTATTGGACATTAATCATTAGGATCATACATGTCATTGACGGTTGATAACAACCAATCAACATACTGACATACTGTGTCAGCTGCTTTCTTACCTGCTTCAATATCCTTGTCTAGTTCAGTTGTGTCAGAACAATCATTTTCATCTTTAAATTTTTGAGCTGAGAAACCTTTCAAAGCAGTCTAAGTAAGTTGGCACAAGCCTGGGTCATTATTTAGTTTAGCAGTACCATGACAATGGATACTACCTCTACCTTGATATTCGTATCGAAACCAGTGCCATTTTGCACCAAGTGCATCATAAAGCCAGTGTTTTACAAAGCTTTCTAATCTTTGTGTGAAAAACCAATCCACAACATGGGGATTGTTGATCACATTTTGTCGTCGTATACTGGTAGAGTTATCTAACTCATTGTCAGTATCAGCTTTAAATAAAGCATGTAACTCAGGCCAATGCATATCTGCAGAGGAGAAAGTGAAAAATAATGTTGGTGCTCCCACACTAGTTATGATAGCTTTGAGTTCCTCTCTTACTCTATTCCAATAAGCATTAGTACCTGCAATATTGCCAATATATCTCGATACATTAGACATAAATACATTAGTATTGTTACTGGCAGCCATTTCACACAGTTCATCAATTGTGAGATGAGCTTCACCTGGGTTCTGTTTGAGGAATATTCCACTTTGTTGTAAAATTCGTTTTCTTTGAATCATATTAAATGCCCAATAAGAAAATCTGGTGTGGTTAGCAAAACGGTATACCCATTTACTATCAATAATTTCAGCAAATTTTAGAACATGTTTTATTCGTTCGTGAAGAGGGACATCTCTCAGAAGCCCTTGATTAGTATATAGGATCGCCTTTCCCATCCGGAAACAATGTTGGGAAAGCCATTGTGGCCAGATGCGATATCTGATACCCATTTAAAGGCTCATTTTCAACTGAGGGCCATGGCATTGGCTCATTTTCAGACAACTGGTTTCTAACAGCTTCAATTTCCTGTTGTTGTTGTTCACCAACAGGTAAAAAACTACTCATTTCGGTCGAGTCATTATAAACAATATCTTCTGATGGATTATCAGTAGGAGGACCTACATCAGGAGAACAATTGTCATCTGGGACTATATCATCATCAGTCTCAACAGTCATAAGACCTGGTGATTTAATGCATCTTGATTAATTAATAACTCAGAATAATGAGGATTATTATTGATAAGCCAAACTAAAGCATTGTGCACTTTTTGCTTTCGCACAGTCACATCTCTGAATGTGTTTCCTCTACCTTTAGCCTTGACAATAATCACAGCTATGTCTTTAGGATATCTTGGCAAAGACATTGCAAGTTCTTTGACATTTTGTGGCAGGTTAATACAATGCCCCCAATAACCTCGTTGACCACCAGGTTTAATATAAACTCTCATGATAGGCAAAGCACGAGCAATTAACATTTCCTCAATCTGAGTTAAATTCTGCAATTCATGTGGAAAACATGAAGGTATCATTGAATTTTCACAAGAAAACTTTTTAGGAGATTTTTTATCTCTGGAGCATCGGGAACATATGTAAGGTGTCCTTGGTTTAGACTTCAAGGGCCATGCCTCCTGACATCTAATATAAACTTTTTCAATATATTTCGGATGGACATGAAACTTGCTACATCAATATAACTTTCCATTCCGAACAATCGTATGTTCTTTATTTTTGAGATTTAACGGGTTTTGGCGGGAAAATGACGCCACGAATCCTCCAGTTAAAATTTACTTTCAATATCTTAATAGTTTTGTTGCAGAATTTGGAAGAACATGTCATGAACAGTTCAAAACTGAAAACGGATTTTAAATATCTAAACCTAATCCAAAGTTATTTCACCATAAAAACCGTGAAAAATCTAAAAATAGTAACAAAATGGTGGAAAATTCGATTCTAAACTCCCTGTATCTCGAGATGAGATTAAGATATTTAAAATCTGTTTTCAGTTTTCAACTCTTCATGACATGATATTCCACATTCTGCTTAAAAACTATTAAGATATTGAAAATAAATTTTAACTGGAGGTTTCGTGACGTCATTTTCCCGCCAAAAACCGTTAAATCTCAAAAATAAAAAACATACGATTGTTCGGAATGGAAAGTTATATTAACGTAGCAAGTTTCATGTCCATCCGAAATATATTCAAAAAGTTTATATCATGCAGATGACCGATTTGTGAGGACAGCTGACCCGGCGTCTGTACACTGACTGACAATGTATTGCACAGACTTATTAAACTTATTGATGTTAGCCTTAGCCCAACATTGCTCTTCAATACCACCATTAATGGTGTTGTCAAACAGATTCAAATAATCCTGTTGATTTAATATTTCATGTCGAGGCTGTGACACTTTTTTTGCCCGCTTTTGTTTTTTATTAAGTCTATCTTTCTCAAGCCTGATTTGTCTATCACTGTCAGTTTCCTCTGACCGCTTTCTTTTTTTAGACTGGCGATCCTTTTGAAGTCTAATTTCTTGTTCGCTGTAAGTTTCTTCTGAATACTTTCTTTTTTTATACTCACTAGCTTTTTTAAGTCTAGCTTTTTTATCACCTTCAGATTCTATTGAATGCCTTTTTTATGGTATTCATGATCTTTTGCACACTTACTCTTTTGCTCTGAAGCATTACATTTATTTAATTCCACAGGTACAATTTCAAATGAATTGGTATGTAAGTTCTTTGAAAGGCAATACAGATATTGTTCTAACTCTAGAATATTAATAAATTTTATGACAACCGCAGTGCCATTTGGATCAGGCATGCCAATGAAATCTCTGGCATGTGAATCAAATAAATAGATAAAACCTGCTTGCTTTATTAAGGCCATCATATAGCCTTCTAATATCAAGATAGCATAACTATTATTCAAAAATGCATTCAAAAGGGCTGTGTGAATGTCATAATAGTGAGATTCAATCTCTCGGTCAGTTATAGCAAGACCTTGAAGCTCTTTTCCATAACTGATAAGCCAAATTTGATTTTCATTGTTTGTCTCATTAGTCATCACAGAGTTGTGCTCTATGCCAACTTCCTCTGCCACAATGAGTGGATCAATATTACTTTCCACCACAATGAGCAGATCAATATTTTGCGTCTCAACGGGCTCTACCACAATGGGCAGATTACTTTTGTTTTGGGCCTCAATGGGCTCCACCACAATGGGCAGATTGCTTTTGTTTTGTGCCTCAATGGGCTATAAACCAATGTTTATACTTTCCACCACAATGGGCAGATTGTTTTGTGCACAACTTGTTTGTGACATCAGATCAATCTCATACGAAATCTCATACGAAAACATGTTCGTACAACATGAAACACCGACAACGTTTGGCAAGTTATCTACAGACAAGAACTCAATACTTGGTTCTAAGACATTTAATCCATTATTCCGAGCTCTTAAGTACATTTTGTCTCCTTGTAATAAGACATTATTAAATGTTGTTTTTGACCAATCGATCAGTGGCATATTTTCGGCTGTTAAAATTGCCGATAAACTCATGAAAGCACACTGTTTGCCTCTAGATTGGGCACTAAAAAGGTCATCGCCTTGATGTATATTAGCAGAAAGAAATAAAGCCATACTTACCTGATTTTCCTGAATATTTTCAATTGTTTACATCCGAGTTTGCATCCGTACAAAACCTTGACTCCTCGAGCACATGGAAGGAATTCAGGACACATGCGTGCGCAATAGAAACATTTTCTCGACCTCCCCCTCAAAATAATTAAGGCACCTCAAGCTTAATTATTTCCCCGGAAATTCGAAATCCCGACAGACACAAGATCAAGATCTCGACAATACATAGATCGCGCGAAAGACTGGGCCGAGTGAACTCTGGAGAAACCTTGAGAAACCATAGAAGTCAAGAATAGTGTGCTGCCTCCCTTCGCTCGGCAGCAACTAGATATGTTATTACCGTATCTGCAAAAAATATTTGAACCGTTGACCATGACCAATTAAAATATTAATTAAATCAATGATATATACCCATAAACCCAACACTTGATTCACATAACCATTGATAGAATTAATATTAACTCACGAAACTGGAAGTTTATATGACACTTTGATAATTAAAAAGTTAGAAACTGAATTGATATTATAATTATGATATTTGTATTATCCAGCATAATAAAATTATAAATAAAATTTGTATATATTAAAAATATATACAATTTGCAGTATATGATACAATCATGTGTAATATAACTTTACTTCTTTATATGTGATGCAACAGAACGCCCATCCTCTTCAATTCTAATCGGATCGTGTCTTTTCAGATGGTTGTCTCGTGAGGAAGGTATTCAAAACACAGTTGACACCTGACACATCCTTTCTGGTAATTTTCGGCACCTGCAAAGAATCTGACACTCTTGATTTTTTCTGTCAATTGGATTATATTCTCTATCTTACTCCAGTCCACACAAGAAATGCTGCTTTGCATATATTTATCTGTGATGAGTTCATTCACCAGAATTGACATGTCAGATGCAGTACTTGTAGCCGAAGGAACTTTTTGCTGGTCGATTTTGGTGGATAAATCTTTCAACATAGAAACTACCACATCCATCTTTTCTTCTAGGTTACTATGGCCAATTGACAATGTTTTGTCTAAGCTTTGATGAGTTGGTGATAAAAGACCATCTTCACTTTGACTGGAATTAATTGTTTCCTTTGCGATTTCCAATTTTTTCAGGCAAATACTTTTGTAGGCATCTAAGGCTTCTGCAGCAATTGGAGCAGTAGCATCAACAAATTGGACAAGATGTGTTTTCATCCCACTATGTGCTTTTGAAAGATGCCTTTCTCTTGTTTGCTTATCACTTCGACAAACATAATAGTTATAAGAGGGGGGGGGTACCGATCCTGAAGCACGAAAAATAATATGCAGTGATCTTGAAGCATGAAAAATAAAAGAAGGAAGTCCTGAAGCGCGTAAAATAAATTTATTACGAATCTGAAATGTAAAGTGAACATGGAATGTAAGCAACAATCATACTTAGAAGTCTTAAAGGTAAATATAAACAGTCTGTACTAGGCGGTGTGTTCACCTATTTGTTTACAATTGCGTCGATGTTCATGATTTATATAAACTTTGAAACCTCCGTTCCCCAATCAAAACATCGCTAAAATCCAGAAACAAAATTAATGGAATATATTGTCCAGAAACGAGAAATAACCGTCTTTAAATACAGCGCTAGCTGAAAACGGAGAACCGATATTGAATACACCGCAAGCACGATACACGGCATCCATGTCGGGATCGAAAAACGTTTAATAAAAAGATGACTGAACGAAGAACGAATAATTAAATTACCCCAATACGCAGCACGAAAATACCCCATTACCCCCCTCTTATAAGGGGACATGGATTTATAAGCATGAAAGCAAGTTGAGGCAGACCTGAGGGAATTGAAAGGTTCATGGAAACAAAGCTGCAGGCAGTTGTTTGCAGTTCTGATTTTTTTGGAAAATCAATATATTCAAATTTTTACATCTGATTATACATTGGTGCAAGCAATTTTCCTGCAAGAGTAAAATCGTCTGACATTAGACAGATTAAAAAAACTGTCATATGAATGCAATGCACTATGTCACTAAAAGGGTTAAAAAAATGGTACTAAAAATGTACTTTGAATTTACAATTCATATAAAAACCATGTTTCATCTAACTGTATATAAACAACAATTGTGGGTTGCTATCAAATCCCTTTGTCAATAATGTATAGACATGTTTAAAATTGTTTCTAAAATTGGCATCCCTTCAGTGAAAGCATGACTCAGACACATCACTCATTCTGTAAATATTATAGAATGATATGGTCTGATATGTTAATCGAGTTGAGAGCAGAAAATAATTAATACTATCTCAGAGGATAATTTTTGAAACTTTGATCAAATAACGTACTTGAAACAAGTCATACAAACACCAAGGCAACTTCGATGGTGGCTGCAAATCAAGTTTTGTTCGTAACTTTTTCACAGTTACACCAGGTGCCAATGAAGGTGACAGAGATCTCTTGGTGTTTGATTCAACTTTTTTGAAAAAATTTGCAATACCACTTTGCCTTTTCGTAGCTGTTTTTTTACCTAATTGAAATGAACATTTTTTTGACAATTACACTTCACACTTGGGCCAATCAGCAACGTACTGTAATTAAACTGATGTAAAACTATGTAAAAAACTGATTTATAACAAATACCTTGGCATTTGGAACGCAGTACCGTAGCCCCATAACCCTCCTCTGGCCCTGGAATGCTACACGGCTCGAAGCTGTGGCAGGGTTTCGTGCAGGAATAACAACAATGACTTCCTGAATATTCATTCTCACAGCAGACACATACTAAAGCAGTATAAAGAAATGTTGCCAGTGCCACAACTTCATAATAATAGTTTAATTATACACTGTAAAACTTCCCAATGATAATATTGTATGTTAATATTTTGCAAGTGTTCCCCAGACAATAAATATAGTCCAACATAAACTTGAATCACAAGGCTGTCATTATTCATTAAGACAGTCAACAACATTTGGCAACTAAATTAAGTTTACCCAAGGAGCGGTACGGTGCATTGGAATTAATGAATTATTATTGCTGCCGAGCGAAGCGAGGTAGCCACATATTCTTGACGACGTTTACAGTTTTTACTCGTGCCAGATTCCCGCGCGACCTATGTATTTTAGCCAAAGCAATCTCAATTTGTTTGTCGTTCGTTCGTTCGATCATTCGGGACGCATTTTCTGACGTCACAGTAGAATGACAAATTTATATACGCAGGAAGGTTACGATGACAATCCGATCGCTTCCGAAAGCTGTGTTCGGTGCACCGTAACTTCATAGGAGCTATGACATTTAATTTTGACATCATATCGCATATTTTTCCATTGCACGAGGCTGTGACACTATTTATACTATTTCACGGATTTTGGAGGAAAAGAGTTTATATTTTTGAAGGTATGTCGATAAAAATAGTTATTTGAACTGTAAATGACGTGTAGTCTGTGTTTAATACATTCTAAAAATTCGTTTTAAACATTTGCATTGTGAGTTGGGAATTCGGAATTCAATGATCTATATCATATTAATAAAGTGATATGGGACCACATTTTTATGTTGTTTGTCGACTGCGAAGACTCCCAGACCTATGGTAGACTTTTAATTATTTGTATAAAAGATGGCCCGCAAATCAACTCATATTAATAAAGTGATATGGGACCACATTTTTATGTTGTTTGTCGTTTGCGAAGACTCCCATACGACTTTTAATTATTTGTATAAAAGATGGCCTGCAGAATTTTAAATATCTAGCAGTGAATTGTAATCTGTCAGTTCACACTTCACAGATAACATTATTTTATAATATAAAGACTAATAAAGTCAGTCATGTGAGTATGAGTGTGGCAGTATAGATTATTGAGGCTTGACACTATTATCCTGCCCATGTTGCACCTTCCACTTCGCAGGGAGATTCCTCTGTTGGCAGGTACATATTTTTAATTGTATAGTAATGTTTTACAAACTAAAGTAAACCCTATTGTTTGTTTTTAGGTTATAATCTGGCACTACCGTACATCAGTGTTAAGATCCTTGGAGCCATTGTGTTTGCGCTGATCAATATTTGGCAGATCAGACATTCAATTACAAGTGTGACTTGTACTATTCAATACTATTCAAACCAAGCGAAGTATTTGCTCGCTTACAAATATATTATTAGACGTGATTTGCGTCTAAAAATCAAACTTTTTACAAGGCGTAATTTGCGTCTGAACACTAACTTTATACAAGGCGTGGTTTGCGTCTATACAACAAAGTTGAACACTAACTTTATACAAGGCGTGGTTTGCGTCTATACAACAAATTTGAACACTAACTTTATACAAGGCGTGGTTTGCGTCTATACAACAAACAACAAACTTTATAATTTATACAAGGTGTGGTTTGCATCTATTGACACTGACAATATAAATCGGATAAACAATTGAGCAATACCGTGCCCGCATTGGAACACACAATAATATAAAAATATGTCCAAGTCGACTTAAAGTTGACTTTTCTGACATAATGCTGGCGGTTTTTCAACTGCTTAAAACAAATCTTATGTTATTGATATTAATGCAGATACTCTATCTAAGTATTTTTTATGTAACAGCAAATACAGAATGTACTAAACATTTATGTGAGATGGCAGTGTCATTCAATCAAATGTCATGCAACAATGTTTATGTCCCATTGTTATTGAGAATGGCAAATGACGTTGAAGAAAATCCTGGACCCACAATATATAATGTGGTTGACCCAACTCAAACAGTATGTGCTGATTTCAGCCAAGGTGATACAAGAAAATTTAGGCAAAATGCTGGTAAACAATGTTTAGCCATGTCCTTGACCGCAATAATACATAGTCATATATTAGATGTTGATACTTGGGATACATCATTGTTGAACCACATACTGTATGCAGGAAATGATCTGTATACTTTCATAAGCAACTCTGTTAAAAAGAGCTACTTATTGTTAACTGATGTTCCAGAGATGGTTTCAGTATTTGACAAAATTTATCACTTAGAATACAGTGACTCATTGGCTGGAGATCTATTTATAGAAAATACCAATTTACCTTATTACTCTTTGGAACATGCTCTTCGTGATTTGTTTTATGGTTCACAATTAAGTTATCAACATTGTATGTTGACAATTAACTGTAATACTATTGCAATTTTTAAAACTTCTGATGTGAATTTTAAAATTTTTGATTCTCATTCAAGGGATTCCTATGGTATACTGCATCCATTTGGAAAATGTGTGTCAATTTCTGTTGAAGGTATAGATAACCTTATAATTTATTTACAAAATACTGTTCCCAGAGGGGATGATGTACCATTTGAAATCAAAGGGGTAACTGTTGAGTTAGCAAATTGTGAGATTGGCAAAGAAACTGGTATTGCAATTTTATCAGGAAAAGTTGCAAATAAAAGACTGGAAACAGCTAGAAATTATAAAAAAAATAAGCGGGCAGTAGAGACTGAAGCTGCAAGGGAGATCAGACTTGAATCTGATAGGAAATATCATGAATTAAAAAAAGCAAGAGAAACTGACCTTGCAAGAAAAAGGAGACTCGAAAACAATAAAAATTGTCATAAATTTAAAAAAGCAGTAGAAACTGAAA